ACAAAAAATTATTTACGATGAACACAAATTCACAGACTGGTTGATACGGAACCACACAACATAACACTAATTTTGGGGTCTATTAGCGACCACCATCTTGATTTTTTTCAGCGTGTTATGTAAGAGTCACGGTTTACGTGGTATATTATGGTTGTAGCATGAATGGGGCAGCTCGACCGGGGTAGGACCACGCTCTTAGACAATACCAATGTAAGATGGCAGCTTTATGCTGCTGTGTTTCGTATGGTGTGTGTAGAGAACCAGAGACCCTTTTTACTTAATCCTCTGGAGTGACAACGCATCTACATTTTGATTCCTAATCGAGGATATATGTAGATGTGTATAGGCCACAGCATCCACTTACCATCAGGTGGACTGTGTGTTAGTTTGTCACACTTATTCTTAAAAAAAAGCATTTATAAGTAATACATACCAAATGCTGACCATGTAGTGGCAACGTAAGATAATGTACTACCCCATATCCTCCCGTAGGTGTCTTAAGAAGCGACAGCAGAAAATGAAACCAGGAAATGGGAAGCAGCATAATCCTGACAACAACCCACCCATCAAGCTTGACAACTATGGAAAAAATCCCCGAGGAAATCTATATGAGAGGCTTTGGTGGAGCGGTGGACTTTTGATGTGCTGTAATAAATAAATGAATTGTTTTACGTGTGTAATAAATGAATTATCTAATATTATATGTGCCAAAAAATAAAAATTGTTCAGATTTGTTCAGATGTCATAGTCAAGCCGGGTCAAGTTTCGAGAATTTTTTTTTGTTGATTTTCTGATTCTCATTGTTTTGCACCGCTAATCTCTAAAACATGGCCACGCCGTGAAGTAAGAGCCATCGAGTACATATTATCATTCCATTAGTGCATCACTATAAACAATTTTTTTGACATTGATTAGACTAATCAATGCACTTGAGCTTCCGTACCCTATACCGCACTTTATTTAGTTAAGAAACCTGTTCTCTAACCATCTTACACCTATCATAACTCTATCTTGGTTCTTGATCCATGACGAGTGTCTTTGTGTTAGCGCGCACGCCCGTAGAGTTCAAAAATCAGTTGCGCTAATTTAGATATTTTTAGGGTAACAGCAAATCACTTTTCACTTATTTATTTCACCATAAATTTAAATAAAATTGTGCAAATATATATATATTTAATTTGAATATAATTTCAATCCATATATAAAAAGATAGAAAATAATGCAACCCTACTTCGGGCTTCGAACCGTAATTGATTATTTTACCCTTTCAGTACACACATCAGTGCACAAATTGTGCCCAGTATATAAGTTTGTTTTATTTATGTTTCTGTTACTATCCGTATGTTTAAATATGCTCTGTGAATATATAAATACAATTGATATCTATCAACTAATCACACCCCTTGCAGAGATCACAAATTTTACACTATCTTACATATTTTTTAAAAAGTTTGACAAACAAACACACCTTCCACTTGATAGTAAATGGATGCTATGTATTTCAAGCTGGTTTTCTGCAGATGCAGTGATAATACAATGCACGTATCTCTGATAGGTTTTATTATGATTAAATTTTGCATAAATTTCTTAGGAGAAGAAGCTACGTATACAATATTTAAAATGGAGCTTGTATGCAGCAATACGAAAATATAAAAGTTGTTTGTACGACGTAGCAGTAAACGAAACACGTTCGTTAAAAGGTGCACCACTCTCGTCGTCTAACACTTGACACGTTTTCACTTTCGCGCCGGTTGGCCCAGAATTGTAGAGTACAATTTTTTCATACGAGTGGAACTGTGCTTTCATATTTTAAACGGGGTCTCGCCTTTCAGAAGGTCAAGTGTTTGTTTAATTTTTGTCCCGTTTATGTTCCGGCTTGAGTAAAACGTTTTCGCGTAACAATTTTTTTCATTAAGTGTATTTTGCTTAATTACATGTTTTACTGTGTCACTGTAAAGTGATACGTTGATATAAGTTTCCTTGGCAATGAAAAAAGTTTCAATGTCTCGAAAACTGATCCCAAAACACTTTTTATAGAATAAAGGTTTATCTGATAACAAGGAGATGCTGTGGCCCATAGACATCTATTTCTAACCTCGACTAAGAATCAAAATGCAGATGCTTTTCCATGACAAATAGAAAATACTATCTAGTGATTTTTAGAGCTTTTTTTAAGTTTGTCAAATAAAATTTATCAGTTAGTCTTAAAATATAATTGAGGCTTATTATATACGACTAACCAGTTGCAAACTTTATGTATGTACAAATTTAACGTATGCGCCTAGCGTAACAAAAGCGTCAAGCTGATGATAAGTGAATGATGTGGTACATAGAATTTTTACACGTGGTAGAGTCATGCTGGAGCTATATTAGTAGTATAGTTGTAGCACGAATGGGTCGGCTCGACCGGGGAAGGACCACGCTCTCACAGAAAACCAGCGTAAAATAGCAGCTTAACACTGCTGTGTTTCGTATGGTGAGTGTAGAGAACCGGAGACCCTTATTACTGGCAAAGAGGCATTCCATCTTAGTCCTCACGGGTGGCAACGCATCTGCATCTTGAGTCTTTATTGATGATAGATGTAGATGTCTATGGGTCACAGTAACCACTTACCATCAGGTGGACTGTGTGCTCATTTGTCACCCTATCCTATAAAAAAAATAGAAATCACCTCTGAGGTCTATAAAATAAAAAGGCTCTCCGGTTCTCTACATTCATCATAAGAAATTTTACGTTGGTACTCTACGAGTGCGTGGTTCTTCCTCGGTTAAGCCGACCTATTCAAACTACAACCATAATATAGCTGCAGCGTGGCTATAACACGTGCTGTAATTGAATATCTAAGAATTTCTGTGTTTCTTTACTTTTTATAGGCGACTTCAAAAAAAGGAAATTCTCAACTGGACTGTATGTTATTTATTTTGTATTTATTTTAAGCGATTTTTCATGATAATTTTTCATATGTTAACTTGAGAAGTGGTCTCATAGAAATTCAGAAAATTAAATTTCAATACTTATGGTGGAAAAATATTGGGTAAAGTTTTTATTATAGCCATTTAGATGACATTCCAGATATTACCATGACCTTGTGACTGAGTCTACTGAATATAAGAAATATATAAGAAGAATAAAATCATTTTCACATAATAAACAAGTAGTAAAAAACAAAACTGACTTTCAATAAGTATTATGCAATAATCTATATTAAATAAAAATTATTCTACTCTATTCTATTCTATGTATTCTATTCTTCCGAAGCCAGTGCTAGCCCATAGCTGAATATGGACATGAATTATAGGAAGAATTCGCCATGATCGCCATGCTTTGTAGATGAATTTGCCGTCACCGTACCATTTAATATTGCCTATGACTCTGCTTTTCATCATCGGTCTGTGCATCTCTCATATTATGTCTCGAAGGCGAAAAGATCTACCTATCCATTTGAAAAGTCACTTTTCCCTGTGTTTATTTACAATCGATATTTCATGAATGCTTTATTATCGGTTCCAATAAAAGGGTTTACCTATAATTTCCATTTACTAATATAAAATTGATTTGCTTGTGGGTCAAAATGTTACCAAAGTGTGTATAAATTTATAATACATTTTGGAACCTTTGGAAATGCTTCTAATTTTTCTTTACTTTCTAACGGTCCAGTTATTAGAGCTAAAGAAATATATGTAGAACTATTGCTAGCTGTAAAACTTGCTTAAAGATATGATAATATATGTATTTATTCCAATTAACAAAATTAATAAAATAATTGTTAATAAAATAATAATAATTTGACGCCTCCGTGGCGCAGTGGCTTAGCAACGAGTTGCATCGCTAAGGGCCGCGGGTTCGAATCCCGCACGGAAGAAGTATTTGTATGGCCTACAAATAGTTGTTCCGGGTCTCGATGTTTGGCCTTGTGAAATTTATGTATGTAAACTGCCCCCACGATATAGGAGAAAATCCATGGATTATAGAGTAGAAGGAGAACCATCTCATATGGGGGAAAGTTGAAAAAGTGTTCAACTGTATACCGGAAAGCGGAACCAAGAAACCAAGAAAACCAAGCGGATTAGTTGTTTATTTCTCCATCTTGTTCTAATTACTTTTGGCGCTTTTTTTCAATTTATCCTATGCTCTCGCAGCGCCACCCTTATTGGACGCGTTTTTACGGACACTTATTCATACACAGAGATGGTCCTTCTTCTACTCTATACTCCATGAAAAAATCCTAGTGTGGAGATAATGTTTATTAACAAAAAAATATTATAGCGTTTGGGGCAATATTTTTACAAGGTGATAGGATTCTCTTTCTGCTGAGGAGTCCGTCTGGGCAGGTACCACAATCTTACTTATTTTTGCCGTCAAATAGTTTTTGGCGGCAAAAATACAAAAGTTTTTACTGTTGTGTTCCAACCTGAAGATTATAAAGAGTCAGTATACTAACAGGTTATGAGGCGCCCATGAATGACAGTAGCCACTTACGTAAGTTCGTTTGCCACTGTTGTTTTATAAAAAAAAAATGGCAAACGAACTTAATCCTTTACGTGATAGAGCCATGCTGCAGCTATATTAGTAGTATAGTTGTAGCACGAATGGGTCGGCTCGACCGGGGTAGGAACACGCTCTCACAGAATCCCAGAGTCAAACAGCAGCTTAATACTAATGTGCTTCGTATGGTGAGTGGAACCGGAGACCTCTTTTTCTGGAAAAGTGGCATCCCATCTTAGTCCTCACGGGTGACAACGCATCTGCATTTTGATTCTTTATTGAGGATAGATGTGGATGTCTATGAGTCACAGCAACCACTTACCATCAGGTGGACTGTGTGCTCGTTTGTCAGCCTGCCCTATAAAAAAATGTGACTTAGGAGGTAATAGCGTTTCTGTAATCCTCTTTGTTTTAAATTTGTTGCAGGTGTCTAAAGGTTGCAGTAATCCCTTGTCATCATTCGGGATGTTGGTTCGCTCTCATTCTAGTTTGATAAATAAAGGAAAATACTCACGTTGTACACTTTCCGGCATTGGCAGCAGCCACTTGGAGCGCTAAAAATATAGCGCCAAATGCAATCATTTTGTCATCCGCTAGTCAGCACATATCTGTAAAAAAATAAATATTATGTTTTAAATATAATAATTAAGAAAAATAAAAGATTAAGTTTCAATTTCCGAACTTTATGAGAAACACTTACATAAAATCTCATGTTATAGGTAGAAAAATAATTCTTATATTAATGGTATAATTGGTAAAATTAAAAATTTTGTACAACCAAATTCAATATAAATAAAATGAGAAAATCATCAATGTAGTTGTAAGTCAATTAAACACGCATTATTAAGGATAACTAAAAAACTACTGGTGCTGCACACCAGCATTAAAAAAATCGACAAAATCGGTTCACCTAGCAAAAGTCCTCCTTTTTTTGAAGTCGGTTGAAAAGACAAGAAGATTAAAGATTCAGTACTTCATAAAAAGCTTTTGTATTAATTAAAAGGATTTAATTAAGAATGTTACAATAATTTTATGGCTTAACAACTTATGGATTTTTGATATATGAAATAAAGAATTATTATTATTATTTGCAGTATACAAACTATGGTATGCATGATGACAACTTTTCAGAAGTTTAAAAAGTATTCAGGAACGTCATGAACTGAGAGCCTTATTTTATATGAAATGCGTAACTAGCCGGACGCATTTCGCTTTAAGCGGGACCACTTAGGTATATGTGTATGTAGAAGTAATATACAAATATTACTTCTACATACAGATATACAAAAGTGTAATTAGTATAAATATTTAATTACTTATTTGTGAACATATATATATATATATATATATATATATATATATATATATATATATATATATATATATATATATATATATAGATTAGTACATACATATTATAATAAATCCAAAGAATAGTTAAATTGTATTGTCTATAATATATTTTGTTTATATAACTGAAAAAAACCTTTAATAGGCCTTGCATTTAAGCTGTATACTTTAAGTCCTTGAAATTGTTAAATCGCTGTTGGTTCTTTTAAATAAATAAAAAAAATTATAAATAATTACAATCATCATCAAGAACATCATCATTACATCCCGTCATTAGCCCACTGCTTAACATACGTCTCCCCAAGGAATGCCAAAAATCAACAAATACGCAATATTACAATTTTTTTTTCTATATGATTGCTATGGAAATTCAATCATATTTGGCCATCTTAGGGCTATTACGCACTGTCGACTAGTCGCCGGCGACTCAGTTGTCGACGACTGTAATATTGTACAGTTTAAATAGGTGTTTACGCACTAGTCACCAGTTGCCCGGGCGACTCGGCGACTCGCCGCGCAGTGGCGACGCACAGGCAACTGCCGGTCGCCGGCGACCAATAGGAGCACGGTTTCAAATTGCTTTCATTGAAAGCATTCACACTGCGAGCAACTGTCGTAACGACCGGACGGCCGCGCATAATGAGTTTTGACACGGATAAATTTATATCGGAAATACAATCCCGAAAAGCTATTTGGGATTTACAAAGTGAGGAATATGCTAATCGGGATTTGAAGAAAAAACAGTGGGAAGAAATAGTGGAGTTATTTGGAGGTGAAGAATTATCAGACGAAGAAAAAAAAAACTCAGGTAAGTAAGAAATGCCATTTATTTTTTATTAATTAATACTGCTCATCTGCCAAGATAATTGACCCTCAGTTGTAAAGTAATCAGCAAATACATCTCTGTATGATGCACCACGTCGCGTAGCTCTTTGGAAACCGTTTGGGACTTCTTCAAAGCCAGGAATGCTCAGGGTATCTTCAAATTTATATCCGTCTCTTTCTCGGACATAGTTGTGAAGAGCGCAACATGTTTTGATGATGCATGATACTAGATCTAAATTCACGTTGATAGGTCTGTGAAAAATCTGCCACTTGTTTGCTAATATGCCGAATGAACATTCAATATGGCGTCGTGCACGAGAAAGCCTATAATTAAATATTTTTTTCTTTTTTGTTAAATTTGATCCACCGAACGGTCGCATAATTTTGTCAGTTTGTCCAAATGCTTCGTCACCCACAATAACAAACGGTACTGGTATAGGGTTTGTCGATGAAATGGGCTTAGGTTCGGGTATTTGCAAATCATTGTTCATTAGCTTTTGATAAAACGTTGAATTTGTAAATATAGTTGAATCGCAATCCTTTCCATAGGAACCAACGTCTATGTATATGAACTTATAGTCAGAGTCACAAATGCCAAGCAAAATTACAGAAAAGAAGTGTTTGTAATTATAACACAATGATCCACTGTTGTATGGTTTTATAATTCTTACATGCTTACCATCTACGGCACCTATGCAATTTGGAAAATTGGCCCGTAAATGAAAATCTTTTGCGATTTTTAACCAATTTTCTTTTGTCGGTTGCGGTAAACACATGTCTTTTAGTACAACCCATATAAAATGACAAACTTCTCTTATTATTTCAGCTATAGTTGAAATCCCAAGTCTGTATGAGTAATGTAAATCTACAAATTTACAACCGCTTCCAAGATATCTGGAATTAAAAAATAATTTAAATATATACATTATTTACAGGTCATTCACTTCAAAAGAAATGGAAAAATATAAGAAGCTGCTTTTCGCGAGAAGTACGAAGATTAAAAAATACTAAAAGCGGATCTGCTGCTTCCCATAAAACTCCCTATATTTATTATAATCAGCTGTTATTTTTGAAGAATACCGTTGGTAATTTAAACACAGAGAGTAACATTGCTGAACAAGAACATTTGACAAATGATCAAGAACCTTTAGGACCTTACTCGTGAGAAAATATAGTCGGAAGAAAAAAGAAAAAAACGTCAGATGATGGCACAAGCGAACTGTTAACCACATTAAACAAGTGTATTGAAACTCGCAAAAATAAGGAGGCTATTTTGGAACAAGATGAGGACAGAATGTTCCTGATGTCCCTATTATCATCATTTAGGGCAATTCCGGAGCACAAAAAGTCAGCTGCGAAAACTCAATTAATCAGTGTAATCGAATCATTCCGATCCTCTACTCAAAATAATATATATCCAAACACAATGTGGCGAAATTTTAATGAGTACGAGTATGAGCGTGGTTACTTCACACCGGAGGCCGGGCGTTCAACAGCACCAAGTCAACAATCACGCCCTGAAGCACAACATTATTATACGCTACCAACTTCAACTCCTTCAGAACGTGAACGCTCAGAGTCGCGATTTTCTACTGTCACTTCAAATACCTCGCAAGATTCTGACATTTTTGATCTATTTTGAATATTTCCTTTTGTTGTGCGTTCGTTTATAATATTGATTTCATTAAGTACTTTAAAAAAATACATGTTTTATAATTATTTACCGTATATTTTTAAATTATGTCATCGAAGAGTAGACTTACAGATAGTGCCATCCACGAAGACGCGCCCCACTCTTTGTTCAAATGCATGTGTGCTATCTTCCGCATGTGTTAAACATCTGTCGATACACGCTAATTATCGATGAATGCAAACGCACACTAATAGAAATTGACTAATCAGGAAAGAGTATTATGAACAGCACGAAAGATGCTCTATTTAAATTTAATCGCGCATCTTCGTGGATGGCATTATCTGTAACTCTAAACACACTCCCGGACACATCTATCGGCCCACCTTGAGTTTTAAGTTTTGACTGGAGACCAGCTAAAAATAAATGTTAGGAAGAGCAATAAGTTTTTGCAGGTGTGAAGCTGATTTACTGGCCATCGTTTTCGTAAAAAACTGCATAAAAACTTATTGCACCACTTAACATTTATTTTTAGCTAGGGATTGTCAACACTTTAAACACTAGGTTTGGCCGATAGATGTGTCCGGGAATGTAATGTAAATTGTGTTAAAATCCCGTAAAAAATAAATGTTAGGAATGAATTTTATTTGAATTGTCACTTACCTTAGTGTTATAAAAAGTTTTTCTTCCGGAGAAATACATGGTCGCATATTTGTATCTATGCCAGTTATATGTGGTTTTAGAAGACACAATAAGACATCAAACGAACTCACAGACATTCTTGCATAATTAAAAAATTTACGAGGATATTTTCTAACGTCTTCATAAAATATTTTAAACATTCCCTTTGACCTCCGTTCTTCTAACAAAGGATGCACCCAATACTCTTTTGATTTTTTTTTATTTGTCTTTCTTTTTATAATTAGTAGCGCCGCTACTATTGCAAGTTCTTCAACGTCCATTCTGCACGAATGTACTTGGAATACTGTCGCTCGGCTCGGTCTCCGGGCCCTGTTTCCCATGTTTCGGTCGCCGAGGGACTGAGTCGCCGGCGACTAGTCGACAGTGCGTAATAGCCCTTAAGGCCGCAGAAAACTAGACGACTCAACACCAATTCGTCTCAAACTCAGATCAACTAAGAAAGATAGATAGAGCACTAAGTACATTTAAAGTTGACTGTCTCGTTGGTTTAATAGTCGTATACATCGCTACTGATCATGAGGTCCGGGTTCTAATCGCGGGTACTGCAACCTGGAGTCAGGAAGCTAGCGGTGTGCCACCTCTGCACCTCAGAAAATACGAAGGCTGTTGGTTCTGCGCCTAATCTCTCTCCGCTCGTGTCAGATTGCGGTCACATCGGACTATGAGAGTGCACCTGTGTTTGCGCATACACTTGTGTACTATAATCCTGTCCTACGCAGATTGCTAGTCTTTATTGAGACCGGCCACGTTCACTAATCTGTTCTGGAGGACATTATAATATTTCAAGTGGCGCCTTGGAAAACAAGAAGGCCGTTGGTTCTGCGCCTAATCTCTCTCCGGTCGTTTCGGATTGCGGTCCTATCGAACTATAAGAGTGCACCTGTGTTTGCGCATACACTCGTGTACAATAATCCTGTCCTACGCAGATTGCTAATCTTTATTGAGACCGGCCACCTTCACTAATCTGATCTGGAGGACATTATTATTATAACATTTCATTTGGAAACCAAACCAAACCATTGTAAAGCAACGCTTAACCACTATCCAATCTGAATCTCCAATTATTGTAGGAACA